CAAGCTCTTTATATATTGTGGCATTTTGGGGTTTGATCTTTCTATACAAAAAATGTAATAAAAAAAAGGTTCTAGTGGAAACCTATTTCTATTCTGCTTCATCGTGACAGATAATGGAATTAAATAGAGGAAAGAGTTCGGTTGAGCTAACGATTTCTTAAAAAGAGTATAAGGTAAGAGCTACTTTATATCGCATTTCCGATGGGATGATTAACTGCGCCATTTGAATGTAGCTTTTATTTTTTATTGTTGTATTACTTTGTCATAAATATCTAAAGGAGAATTTCTCTCGACAGAGAGAAGTAAGAGAGGTATACTTCATTGAGAGTAATGAATAAATGCAATATTGATCGACCTAATTTTAAAAAATTGTATCGCACAGGAGGATCGTGATAAAAGCACCATTCTTATGATATGCGTCTACTAGTAACAAACATAGTCGATAGTCGAACACCAACATATATACAAGGGAAAAGCCACGTGCTTCGTTCCAAATGACATTTGCAAATAATGGTTTGGTCAAGCTGTAATTAAACGACTTATGAATACACCGGGAATTTTTCCGCAATATGCTTTTATCTGGTAGGACTTAACTCCTTGAAATGCTCGAGCTCCTTTATGACAGCCATGCTAAAGCCGGGGTATTATTTGTGCAGCGACAGAAGTGACAAGTTTGAAAGACATGAGCGTTACACAAAAGCCTCTATTATATTACTATCAATAAAGATTCCTATTTATTTGAATGAGATGCTTGACGTGTTTGCGTCTCTTTTAAAGTATTTTGCAATGGCATTGAAATGGTTTAATTTTTTTTTATATCGCTGAACTTTAGCAGACATTAACACGCGTCATATGCAGTCAGAGGTGGAATGCGTTGACGTTTATCAAAGAAAGGTTAAACAAAAAAAGGGATATGAATTGAGTATCATCTCACACGTGGTCATACTACATTAATATATATCTATATGCTTTCTATTTTAAACATCTGTCTATATATTAATTTGTAAGATATGAACCAAAACAAACATGAACAACTTGAAAATAATAATATCAATGATTATAAAAATAAAGAAAATAAAGATAATAATAAATGATAATAAAGAGTAGTACTTATCTAACAATAGTAATAATCATAATCATAATCATTAGCTCTCGTAAATCACTCGTTTCTCTCAGACATGACACTCCTTATGCATCAGTAGTATCAAACAATTTTTTAGCAAAAGTGCTGTTGGAAATAACATATATGAATAGCTTTTGAAATGTCCGTGAATATATAAATGCATTGCGAAAAGAAATGACGTAGTAGGACACGCTTATCGATCACGCAGAAAAATAAATATTTGATAAGAATAAAGCAATTGACAGGACTTACAAGATCAGCCATTGGTAAGTGGGTACGATTTTTCAAAGGTTGCTTACATGTATTGTTAGATTTATACTTGAATGTCAAATAAGACTTCAATGAGGCTAATCGGCTTAAAAACCTTTTCAATCGTACAAGCAAAATGACATCACTCTTGCTTTGAATCATCAATAGGATTTGATCGCTCTTTAATAACTAATGCTTCGAAGTTTCCTCTCAAGTGATATAATATTTTGTTCGCCTTGACAGCTTTCTAGAAATTAGTACAGGGTCAGTGATGCAAGAGGAAGTTCTATGTACCCAACGACATTTAGAGGGAAGGAGGGAATTACCTGTTCCAACCGACCCCGAACATTCAATTAGATATTTATCATTTGTATAACATTATTCAAGGGACTTTTAATCATTGGCTTAATAAATGAATTATGTAATGACGAAATAAATATTCTTATAGTAGTGAAATGTTATCTTTAAATGATATTTTAGTGTGAAAATAAGTTTAAAACTTTCGTATGTATGTGAAAGTGTTTGAGAGTGTGTGTACAGGTGAGTATATGGCTGTCCGTATGAGTGTGCGGTGTGAGAAAGGGCGCGTTCATGCTTGATTTTGAAGGCAGAATGAGCGATTTGTAACGCTCATCGTAAACACTCATCGTAATCGCAGTTCCACGGTGCACTGTTCATGCTCACTTCTCCAGGCAATTCTCCTTGGGTGGCCTTCAGCTGGATTCGCAAACCTGTGTGCGCATGCTACGTAGACCCACTAGAGGTCAGTGCGTTGACCCCATTTAAACGCGTTTACAAATTGTAAACGCATCTTTTTGTGAGTTTACGATCGGCGATCGTGATCGCCGTTTTTCGGTGATTCTACAAAAGTGAGCATGAACGCAAGCGTGTTTTAAACTAAACGCGTAACAGATGCCTGATTCTGGCCGTCAAAATCAAGCATGAACGCGCCCTTAGATAAACTCCGAGGCAAGAGAGAACATTAACTCAAAGCTCTTTTATGTTATGTAGAAGTGTGAAATTTACCTTGATTGAAGACTAGAAGCAGAATATTTTCCGTATGAATTGCTGATAAAGTATTAATGCAAATGAAAGTAACATGTACGATTTCTACAAAGTAAAACGCATTTATTTCATACATATTGTTTATTTTTGGTGGTGTCCCTTACTTTCTATGTCATTTCATCCATTACAAGACAACATGTATTTCTCTTTTTTGAATAACCTATGCCCGATCAATCAAATGACTATGACTATGAAATTATATCGAAAGTCGATTTATCATCTTTAAACCTGTTATTGTCATTACGTGTTGATTTTTATTGATATCAGTTATGTTCAATATAGGATGACACATGTTTGCCTCTTTATAGTTCCTTACAATAGTACTGTAGTATTCATTTAGTAATTAATAAAGAGAGTGCGACAAACAGATCGGACTCAAGGATATATCACAAAAGAGCAAGTACGACCCGGGACAATGGATTTACCAACGCGGGGCGTATTGGATATACATACAGTTGTACAGATACCATAAAAATTTCAAATGAAATCATATACTTGAAATATTAAACATTTCAGAAATGTACATAAAAAAAATACGAGACTAAAAGGTTATTTTGAACAAAGAGCACGATGCGGCAACTAACGTATAGCATTTATGAAGACTGGGGACGGAAAATTGCATCAAATGCCATCTTTAATAGCTTAACAGCTTGTAAGATGTAGTTTCATAATCAGGGTGTATAAACAGAATTGACGAAGAAATACAATGGTTTGTGAAGATATAGAGAATAGCTGAGTCCGCTCTTTGAAATAATCCACTCAACAGCGTTGTATTTTTCAGGATCAACAGCATTCACACGTGAGAAGAGTATCGTCTTTCATAATACCTACATGTATATAAAAGTGACCAGACAGCCGATTGCCATTCGGTTGTCAAGTGTTAATCCATGCCAGCGCCTAACAAATGCTTCTGCTGACTCGAACGATAACAGCTGCTTTTCCATGCAAGAGAGTTCTTCCTTATTTGCTTGGAGCTGTTACACGTCTAATTTTTGGTGAGACTTATACAATCATTTTCTCTCAGCGTCTTCTTCGTTCTTTTTTTTTTTTTGTATTCATGTTATCATCATTATTATTATTATTATCATTATTATCATTATTATCAGGTCTATTATTTATTATCATTATTATCAGGCCTATTAATATTGTATTGATCATTTTTTGTTTTATTATCATTCTTTTCATCGCGTTTATTGTATAAATTTCCCGTGGCTATAGCTTACTTTACACTGAAGAAAATATTGACAGTTTGGTTATGTAACATTGTAAGGTAATTTAAAGGTATTTTCCCAAAAAATATATATCCTCTTTTCAATAGCAAATACAGATTTTGAATTTAAACAACAGTTGTATAGCAATTTTGTTTTGTTCCATTCGTTATTGTTACGTTGGTGTTTATAACTTTGCAAGCTGTATCTTTCTACTTCTTATCTTCTCTCTTTTCTTTTCTTCCTGTGAATGTCTTTACTTTATGTTATCTTTATCTTTCCTCTGTCTTCTGTTGTTGTGAATGTTTGTACTATATACAAACAAAGTTTGTATCTTGTTTATGCTAACTATTTATTTGGGGATCATTCTCATCAAGCCAATTTTGGCTTTCATGATTCCCCACTTAATTTATCTTATGTTGACAATGAACGAACATGTATATGCTTTTGATGTTTTTTAAAAGAGAGTGAAACAAATAAATGAAATGAACAATTAATATTTCAATCATCTAATCCTGTATCTAACATCATAAATCTGTGAAAATAAATGATACTTAACACATTAACAAACAGGCCATGACAAATGTGAAATCAACGGTGGAAGTTTGTAGCGCCATTACAATCTTGCCCCTCCCCCCTCCATCCCGAAACATGAATATTCATATATTTTCTTTTTTTGTTGCATAATTATTTATAACGCTTCGCAATGGATAATTCATAGATTTTCCTTTTTGTTGCATGATTAATCATAACACTTTGCAATGGATACTTTGGTCCTCAACAGAACACCAAGAGGTTATGCTTTACCGATGACGTCACCCTGTCACCCGTGGCTTCAGTAGATTCTGATGTTACCAAGATTTCAAGTTACATCCTACTGTGGCTACCACATCGAAGGCATTAAGCATCCGAGTTTGCAATACAAGAACTGTATCGTACTGTAATCCTAATCGAATTGGGGAAAAAATGAAATCTTGAATTTAGAGAATTATATAACATTGTTATATCGTATGTCAGATTTCTTCACTTACTGTGCACTGTACTTCAGGACAAGTAGCTCACTGCATTCTAAGTGACCTGAGTTAAACAAGAATATCTGAATATGTTGGCGAATCGATTGTGTCACTTTCGTTATAGTATTACAACCTTCAGCTTCTTCGTACTAAGATACTAATAAAGTGGCATTAGTAGATTTTTAACATAATAATAATAATATATGTATTAATTGTGTTTAGTGTTTGAGTGCGGTGTTTGGGTGTCTGACCTCGGAATTGTGATTGTTTTTTTTTCACCTACTTGGAGATACCAGTTAAGAAAAGGTGTTTATTTGGCAAGGAAACCAGTCGTTAGAAAGAACGGAAAGTCAGGCATCCTTTCGATGGCTTTCATTAACAGGAGCTCGATGCTAATGGAAAACGCGAGTGTAAATTCATATGATGACTCTTCTGATAACGCGGATGAGTTTCCCTTCTCTAAAACGTGGCTTGGCATAGTCCCATTTGTCGTTTCCTGCATAAGTGTTGTAACTATCATCGGAAACTTCATGGTGATTGTCGCCTATATTCGAGATCAACAAATCCGAGCGAATGTGGCAAATCTCTTTATTTTCAACCTTGCTATCACGGACTTCATCGTAGGAACTCTCGTCTGGACGGTTAATACATCTTGGCTCGTTACGTACGTTTGGGTCCTGGGTGAGGTATTCTGTAAACTGTGGCTAGTTTTGGACTACACAGTGGTCATGGTATCTGTTTGGACGATGGTGATGATAAGCTGGGATCGCTACTGTCTTTTGACAATGGGTCTAAAGTATCAGAGTTTTCAGACCAAGAAGCGAATCGGACTGATCCTTACCGGCATATGGGTGTTTACTTTGATTTGGTACTTAACACTTACATTCGCATGGGCCCCAATAAGTGGTCAAAGCCAGATAGATTATACCGACGACTGTGAAATGGAATTTTCCGCCAGTTTCACCGGGACAACACTCCACAACATGACCGTGTTCATTATACCGTTTTCAGTTCTGATCATTCTGAATATAAAGGTGTATGCTAACATCAAACGTAGGTCGAGGGGCGTCGTAGGGCAGAGTCCTCTAACCAACCAATCGACGCAATCTACAGGGCTTGGTCAGGTACACACTGATACATCAGTGTCTCCTGGAAACCTCCCCCTTGCGGATATGCCAGCAGTCGAGGGACAGCCTACTACATCCGGTCCGTCAACCGCTATCTCTAGTACAGCTGCACAACATTTGCAGAGTCAAGACCCAGGTAAGGTGCCCGTCAGCGGCACATTGGTAGTCGAGTCGAAGACAGAAGAACGGACATTTGCCAAACACCGAAAAGCAGCCATTGTTCTTAGCATCCTCGTAGGATGTTTCATGCTCTGTTGGTTGCCATACCAAGCTTCCACCGTCATGTTGGCAGTTTGTGGGTCCAACTGCGTTTCTTATTTTACGTGGGAGTTCACGAATTCGCTGGTTTGGAGTAACTCGACGATTAATCCATTTATTTATGCTGCCACTAATAAGCACTTTCGTCGTAACTTCCGGCACTATTTGTTTCTCGACCGATGGTCGTGTGATATCAAGAGCTGCAAAGTCAAGTGCAAGCGTTAATTTTTTTTTTAGAGTCAGCATATGATAGTGGTTACATAATACGGTGTTTAGCAAAACCACCATCTTGAAATAAGTATAGGGTAGGTTCTGTGGATGGTAAGAATAGGAAGAGAATGTTTTGTACTGAAAAAAGGGGTCTGCAACGGTTACGAACAGTGATTTATAGCATTGTTTAGAAGTGTAACTTTAACAAAAACGCTGACAGTCGGTGATATTCTCACAATAATTAAAAAAAGGGCCGCTTTACATATTGATAAAGGATGGAAGGTGTGATCTTATGGGCAGATAAGATAGACATTAGTCTATAAGGATATATATTTTTTCATCTCATCTGGGGGCACCTTTGTGAATCACCAAAGGGGCACTATTTATAAACTACTCGTCGGTCATTTATTGATATAGTAATATTTTAGCGTCTACGCCCATGTCCTCTAGGTAATAAGTATATATCTTAGATTAGTATACAAATGATGCATCCGCATGAGTTCATTATACGATCTATCCGCACTCGAGTTGAGGCTGCGTGTATCTATCGCACGAAGCTGTTAGGCTGAGTGCGATAGATACACGCAGCATCAACAAGGGCGGATAGATCGTATAATAAACGAATGAAAACATTCATCATTTGTTTTATACAATGAAACTCCTAGATCCTTGTCATTTGATGTAAAAAGAATGAATTCAAGATTGTTTCGTGACAGTATATGGCTGACAAATAATAGTGGCTGACGATAATTAATGACGAAATTAATGGAAGCAATTGAAAAAGAATTAATGAATTACTGAAAATATTCTTGATATCAATTTAATAAATTGATATAAGACAAAAAAGGGAAACATAAAGTTAATATTGAACTCATAAAATGTTTTTGCATATACTTAAATTAATGAAAACGAAGCATTATTTTTCGACTGCATTTTACTAAGTTTGAACGTGTTTGTGGAGTTAAAAAGCTGACCCATTTTCAGTGTATTTGGTCTTTCAATAAAATATTTATCGATGAACAATTTTCTGTCTGAACGAAAGGTAGGGCATACAAACAAGTAATGAAACTCATCCCCGAGCGATTGCAAATTGCACAGCGTACATAGCCTCATTTCCCTTGGAGTATTTGAATATCTACCAGCTACAATCGGCAGGTAATGATTGCCACAGCGAAAACGACTTAAGATTGTCCGATCTCTTTTACTGAGATCGATTAAGTATATTTCTGAACATAAAGAATGTTTGAAGATTTGATAGTTAACACAATGCGAATTAAAGTACATACAAGCAGACCAATACTGAGCATGAGAATCTCTCAATCGATGTTCCACAGTTTGTTTGACCCACTCAAAGCTAGTATTTTCACAAATTTCCCATAAATTAGACATTCCCATATTGTCCAGAGTCAGCTTGATTTTTTTTAACCAAGGTGCCTGATATATATTCTTCTCAAAGAGTAATTTTAAGATAATATACACCTTACCAGAAAATTTATCCTGTCCACTATGTACAATCCTACACCAGAAGTTTATCATTCTGCTTTCGATTTATTTCTCAAGTTTAAGCCTCCCCAATTCACCAAGTACCATACAATTTGCCGTTGTTTTGTTGACAGAAAGGGCTTGCTTACAAGATTTCAAGATCATGTAGCACTTCAAATCCCCATATCTCACTTCCATAGAGCAGAATAGGCAACACAAGTAGATCAAATAATTCTCGCTACCCTAAATAGGTACGAAAATCTCGAAATTCGCGAGACGAGGTAATTTTCACTCTCTCGGGTCGTCACTACAACTTCCGGTATAGAGTCCCATCCCGCTGGCGCTAGCGCCTGTGTTCGCTGTGCAGAGTTTTCACGCACGCTAAAATCGATGCCAATCAGTGTAATTTGTACAGATTATAATATGCAATGGAAAGCTTCGGGCAGAATTAGTGACTTTAGCACAAAAGGCCGTTAAACTCTACCGTGAAAGAGAGGGTTGTGATCACGAACGCCTGCACAGGAAGCTGTAATGTCGAAAAGCTATCCCATAATGCAATGCGCTTTTCAGGATTTTCCCCGGATCTCGGCAGAATCGCTATTTGGGGTAGCGAGAATTCCAAGAGGATATCAATAGGTAAGTGCAGTTGATAAGTTTTAGATAATAGACTATACATTGCTCGTCTAGCTTGATTAAGTTGCTTAATTTGTGCTTACGAAATTTGTTGTTGTAGTTAAAAGTAGTTCCAAGATAGACGTATTCATCAACAACTTCTACAATATCATGATCAAATTTAAATATATGAATTTTTCGAACTTTACGACGAGAAAATACAACAACTTTGGTGTTAGCTGTTTTAACTTGAAGAAACCATTTTTTTTTACAGTAATCAGATACTGCATCAAGAGCAAGCTGAAGATCACTTTCAGTTTTTGCAAGAACTATTGTATCGTCTGCATACAGTAATGTAAAAAGCCTGAGATATACATCTATACCATTTGATACGCAGCTGCATCAATATTGTCAGGAAGAATATTCATGCCTCCAAACTTTTTCGCAAATGAATTGTTTGAAGTCATTTAAAAAAGGGCAAATAGCATCGGAGATAAATTTTCTCCTTGTCGCACACCAATGTTACAATCATATAAAGAAGACTTTTCTGTACCAGAAATTACACATGACTTAGATATAGCAAGCGCACTTACCTCTGAACCCATTTACGCATAGTGCTGCGCAAGAATAGGCCCATGCACACGCATTATTAGGCGCTCCAACCTCTACGCGCACTACTGCGCGCTCTGAAAACGAGTTCAATAGTACTGGTAAATATTGCACTCCTTTTCATGAAAAGGAGTGCAATAGGCTCAGTGAATGAATCACATGTGACCGCGCATGACCAATCATTTGATTAGGATCTGGGAGTGAGTTGTATAAAAGTAAATATGCATCATAGGCCAAGAGCATTAGCTTTAACATGGACATTTTCCATAACAAGCTGATTTTTTCAGGATAGGTCCAGGAATATGTGTAAATTAACATACTAAAAGTCCTCATGAATCCTCCTTGAGCGTTCTCCGTAATCCAAGATGGCGTCCAAAATGGCCGCCATTTCCTGTTTTTCTCTTAAATTTGAAACTAGGTAACCCCAATACAAAATTTAAATGTCTAAATATATGTTTTTAAGCATAAGGAACTCATTAAAATACATGTTAATAAATTTTGAAACACACAAGTAGCTATAAACCACTTTAGCCCTTCTCAAAATTCAAAATGGCGCCCAAAATTGCCGCCATTTCCTGTATTTCTTATAACTGTCCAACTAGAGAACCCAAATACAAAAATTAATTGTCTAAATATATGTTTTTCATCATAAGGAACTCAACCAAATACTTATTAACACATTTTAAAACACACAAGTAGCAGTAAAGCCACTTGAGCACTTCTCAAAATCCAAAATGGCACCCAAAATGGCACCCAAAATGGCGATTATTTCCAATTTTATCTCATTGTACTAAAGAAGATACGTTATGAATATAATCAAATGTCTATACTAGAAAAGCACCATTGAAATACATATCAGTACAACAAACTTTTCATTAAAAAATACTTCTTATGCATAAAGTACACACATACACATATGGCTGCTTCCACCATCCTCAACGATATCAGACTGACAGTGTGCAACCGTGAAGAGTACTCAACATTAGATGGAACTGAAAATGTAGACACATTAGTACCAAGGTCGCTAAAGCGTTTGATACATAATGAATATAAGATAGGTGCGGTATGGATGTTGCTTTGCTGCAGCACTAGTTGGAGGTAGACTTTCTAACTGAAAGGATGAACTCAGAGAACTGCGACCAATTGTCCGTTTGTATGCAGTGTGACGGTAGTCATCAAGAGATTCAAAACTGCTGGCCCCATAAAGGCTTCCCCGGTTCTTTTTTGACCTCGTCATGGGTGCTTCCACTGCGAATGTATCAAGCAAGTCATAGTCAAGTTTCTTGTGGACCATATTGAAAGTTTACGATTGTCCTGACGGTAGATTGCCTAGACCGTATCACACCCTGTCACAGCATAAAGAAACATCAGGCGATTTCTAGTGTCCTATGGCATGCTGAATTTCATGAATGTTGAAGACCGTGACAGGATTACTGCGGCATAGCATGTGCATATCTGTGGAAGTGGTTGCCCGAGCAACTAGCATGACCAGTAAGTCTGTGTCCGTACCAACGACAAAAACTGGCACCTGTTCTGACTCTGTTACTGCTTGTGCTGTGGAGACAATCAGGGTAGAGGCATCCGCTTCTGCCTGCTTGATACGTATTTTGTCATGTAGAGTTTGTATAAGTCTCATCTTATTGTTGCTGTTGGTTAGGAAAGCTGTTTTGGGTTGTGCTTGTTGGCATATTATCATCAAATAAAGAGGTACATTTCTGGGCTATTCGTCTCTGCTCAGCTACCTTTTTTGAAGTTGCACTTCCATATCCATCAAAAACCACCTTCAAATGAGCTCCATAATGCTTTAGGGTGTATGAAATATATGAACGAACAAATTCAGCATAGGTTGACATTTGTGGTCAAACAACTGATTGCAGTAGGCGACCACCATCTTAAACAAAGAGACCATTTCTGGCAGGTTGGATTGCTTGGTGAACGAATTCAGCAGGAGACCCAGAGAACTCTTTGTTGGCTTCCGCATCACCCCACCTTTGAAAGGGAAAGTGCCTGGGTGCAAAGAACGATTCCATCTCAGTGTTGCTGTTCAGGACACATGCGATTCTGTTGAACAGTAGCGTTGGGTCGACTTTATATGTGCTTTGTCCCCTGATTTTCACTCTCTTACTCTTGGCACCAATGGTCTTCACCTTGTCCTTACGATGTACGTAGCTTGATATCTGTAAACTTCCTACCATGTATTCGTTTCGGATGCCGCTACTAGGCCGATTTGTACAGGTTAATCACAATTAACAGATGAACCAGTGACAATGCCAGTTGACAAGGAGACCAAGCAATTTATTAGTTTCATATCCAGCAAATGGTGATGTGCCTGCAGCCATCCAACAAAGATACATCTATCTTTATTGTCTCTTGACCTGGTACTTTGCTGTATGTCTTTATGCTGCTCTGATGTACCAGTGTGTTCCAGTTCATCAAAGGTATGAACACAGCGAGGAAGTGCATGAACCCACTTAGCCAATGTACAGTCTGTGATTCCACGTCCACCAGTCATTTCTCTAGATGTTTTCAGCTGCCGCATCAGGAACTTTTCAATAGTTTGATCAGAGAAGTTTCCACCCCAGAATGAATCAACACGGGGGATGGTGAAGTATCCCTTTTCTGCGAATTCATTTCCTGGCATGGTTTGCTCTAGAGCTTCCATCTGTTGTAAATACAACCTGGCAGATTTGACATAGGGAAGATGTCCTGCAGCATGGAAATGTTGTATCATTTCCCTCACGTAGCTGAGATGGAGCTTCCAGTCTCCTGTCCTTTCAGCTGGAATGAAACATTGCAGAAGAGACACATAATTGTTGGATATACTGCAACCAAAGTTTCCCTAACCTACTTTGTCCTGCTGCCCGGTCAATGAGTTGTGAATGATCTGACTTTAACTGTTTGACACACTCCTTCTCAGGTACATCAGTCACCTTCGTGTCCTGGTTGAGGAGTGCACCATACAGATTTGCTAAGTGGTCCTTATCTATGCTGTCTAAGATGCCAGGTTTACCCATAAACATACAAATGAGGGCAGCTGAAGTAAGAATGTGAGCACGAAGAGAAGGGGAAAATGCATGACCAGATTGCATATGTATGACAGA